ACAAGCTAATCTCACAAGAAACTGCGTGTACGATTTACAGTAAATTTGCTGTTCCAACTCGCCCTGCCCTTGTCGATATCCTTGATTTTGAGGCTCGCGAGCAGGCTCATGACAGCGACTCACGCATAATGGTCGAAAAAAAAAGGAAATAAACCAACCATTTGTTCTGCAAGGTCATGTCGTCAGAGAGAAATAAAGAAAAGGGGATATCTAGGAAAATGCCTCCGATTTGATCTAACGACAACAAGCGTAGAAGTCCCAGGGCCTGGGCGACCAGAAGGGATCTGGGGGCCGACGGCCTTCAGGGCCCAGCCTTACGACGCTCCGAAAGAGGTAAGATTCTGGGCTTGGTTAGTACTCTCCTAGTCCGACGTACGTCGTCCTGGGAAGTCAAGAGGGGGGTCGTTGCGACGTTGAAGAAGACGAAGGAAGCGACCATCCAACAAATCCAGCCCAATGCCTACTTCCACGCCCCTTTCCCATTGACTGGGTGACTGGGTCTGGAAGGGACGCTACGGCAAAGCGGCTGGTCTAACGGTTTGTTCCCCACAGCCAACGTTGCCCCAAGACAATGGCGTCGTATTGCCAACTGAACGTGAGGAATCGACGGAGCCCAGCACCACCACATGGCGCTTAGCGAGTGTTGGCAAGATTCAACAAGCGCTGGGGCTTTGATTGCAAGGGGTCAGGGGAGGGGCCAGGCGGCCAGAAGTGCCGCACAGGCCTGGTTCCTGTCCGCAGTGTGGGAAGACTTGGGAGATTGACCTTTATGGCAGCACATCCTGTCCAAGTGCTGTTGCCCGTTGCCTTTTGCCCCTATTCCCATGCAGGCGCTTCGAAACAACCGAAATCTCCTGATGCTTTTACTTGTGTTGTCATGTCCAAGCGAAGAACGGCACACGAGCCAGACGACACAGCCATCCCATCGTTTCCAGCTCCTTTTCCTACCCTCTTCCTTTATTTCACTCGGCCTGGTTCTACCAGACCCCCTGTAGGGCATTCATTTCCCAATAAATACCCTGGAGCTACCCCATAGCACCCCTGAGCAGCCCCCTGAAAGTGCTGAAAAATTCTGATGAGCAAGCACTAGCAAGGGCAGGTTGTTGTAGAGGGTGGGTGCCAGATTTCTCGTCATTATAGCGAGGATAGGGCCTGCGATGAGCGACACGGCACATCGGAGAACCGGACTGCTGGACCGCCGACGCACGCAAATTGTAGCGAGAGCGAGCTTCGCCCTGCCAGCACACCGTATGCGTCTGACGAACCTAGCCCCCGCTGTCACGACGATCGTCAACGGGCGTCAACGGTCGCCAATTGGTGCCAACTGCAATCAACAGAAAAGGCGTAATCGCGTCGTTTTGCCGCGTCTGCCAATTTTCCCGACGAACAACAAGTCAGCTGCCCAATGCAGCGTTAGTTTGCCAGCTACCAGTAGCCAACAGTCAAGTCACCACCATGAACCAAAGCGTGACATTTGCGTGATGTCGTATCGGTCCGCTAAATGACACAGAGGCTGCTAAAGACTCGGATTTTGGGACTTTCCCTTCACTCCTCATTTTAGTTCGCCCCAGCCTGGGGTGAAGAAAAGGGTTAACTTATGATAAGCATGGCCATAGCGCACGTCCCCATTGCCTTATTTTGTCGTCCTTCTCTGATGGCAGCCCTTCCCGGCGGACTGGAAAAGGTTCTCACGGTGGAAAAGCCTTTTAGCGACGCAAACGGCCAAGGAGGTGAGAACAGTGAGACAAAATAATGAGGCATACGAAGGAAATGCGGTCGTTATCCAACAGGTTTAGTATCAAATGCTTCGACCATGGCCCCAGAAACCTCAGTTCTCAAACCAAAGATAACAAAATAAAAAAGACCACAACCGACCTTTACTTTTAGAATAAGGATGTATCCTTGCGGTCACGACATACGGTGCAAGGACAGGGAGAACGGGCGAGAGAAACGAGAAACGGCCAACGGAACGAGAAATTCAACTTCAAATTACCAATCGGAGACTTACAGAGTACTGCGTGAATTCAGTGTTATGCTCCTGGCCGTAGCGAGATGGACGCAAAGATGGTCGGAAATACGGAATAAAATTAATTAAGAAAGAAAGGGTTTTAACGGCTGGACGAATCTGCCCCTACAGCATACTTTTGAGAGAACGATGCCAGGCTGGTACCATGTAACGAAGATCGCAGCTTTTGATGACTTTCCGGTTTGAGTCTTAGTATGAAAGAGTTAGGAGTTCACTCCGTCGGGTCCGTCTTTGGGAACCTTGAGGAACAGGGCGCATCGGGGACATTTTCAGGACGGGAAGTCGCTTTTAGCTTTGTAACGTAATATTCCCTTGTCTTTTGAAGGCCGAACAACACAAAAGTTGCGACGTCAGTTCTAACCTTCCTGATTTTGGCTAGTTTGTCGTTGGTTTCTCATCTTCTTTCGTCGCATTGGCCATGGCAATGGCCCTGTACATCATTTCAGCATTTCCTCGGACACTTTACAATCTTGCGATACCCAGTCATCATTCGAGTGGCACTAAAACACACGAACGACCAAAGACCAAAGACCAAGAGAAAAAAAAAACCCGAACAAACAGCATCAAGGTTGGCAAAGCCACTGGCGATATCACCCACACTACCCGTCCTTGTACAATAGAAGAAATTCGCTCCAAGAAACAGAAACAAAAGGAAAGCAACGTAGGTGGCAAAGACACGGTTGGTAACTGACGGGTGGCATGTCCGCCCCTGCCTCTACAAAAAACGATATATCGAACAGGTTGCATCAGATAACTAATCGCCAGACGAATTACTGCAGTGTCGAAAGTGGGGCCGCCGAGGTTCTGTAGTGGGTCACTTGGGCCGCAGGCGCTATCAGCCCGAGTACCTCAAACTTACGCTGACATGATGACACCGTTAGTCCCTATTGGCGCTAAACAGAGAAGGCGTGTTCTTCCAGTTGAATATTTCCCGATTTGGGAATTACAATTCGGCAATTGTGGAGAGGTAATCAACCACAGCTTCAAATTGCCAACAGGAAACAGTGTGTTGAGTATCAATACGAATAAGCTTAAATATAAAAACTGTCTGTAGCTGTCACAGTTATTCAGTTCCGGCACAGTTTTGCTGTTCTTTTTTCCCAGAGTTCTTTTTTTAATTTTCAAATAAAATAAGAAATCATAAAAAAAGAAACACAATACAAACAAAACAAGCAATGAATTTCAGTGAATCCTTCACCAAATTCACACGGTCTATTTCTGTGATGTGTACAATGTACAACATTCTCGGATATATGAGAGTCCCCAACTGCACACGCGGTTATTTGTCATGCTGTGCAGCGGGTGTTGCAAGCCTCACTCTCAATTGCCACCATTTACATGACATTCGTCACGGCAAATCTTTTTTTGTCGCTAGATGTCAGCGACGATCAGGGAGCTCGTGCGGACGATGGAAGACAACCGCCTGCAAAAAGGAGGCAGGTGAGTGAGAATGATAAAAAACGGATTGCCGGGACGCCGCCTTGCAAGGGACAGTCCACGTCCTCTTCCTCGGCTGCCGGCCGTTCCATATCCATGCGAGCCACAGTGCCTGCCACACTCGGGATGGCGCGTCTGTCCGTGAAGGCGGCTACGCGCTTTTGCGACGGTGCCGATTGTTATAACGGCCAGAATGGCCGCTGTGTGTGTGTGGGCGTGTCGATCGTCAGTGGGGAGAACCGCTGACAAAGGTTCTAAAGATGGAGACTTATGAGTAAAGGGGCCGAAAGGGGCCTGCCTACATACCCTAAATATCCTAAACACCCTAAATACGGCGTACGGCGCATTACTCCGTAGAGACGGCGGAAATACAGCACACAGCAGGCGGAAAACAAGGTGCTCACAGCTGACGGCCCACAGATGACCAAGACAGAAGGACAGGGGACAGACGGGAAAGTAGCCCAGGCCAAATTCGCCGTGATGAACAGTGCCCTGAAGTGGATGAAGACCAGAAATGAATATTCTGTACATAAAACGAATCGAAAGATCGCAATATCGATCGAGGCGCTGGGGTGCTAAGATGAGTCCTCGCTGCCCTGTATTCCGTATCCGTACTTCCGTCTTCCATTTTCACCCTCAGACCCTTCTCTGCAAAGGAAGGGGACCCCTATTATTTCTCACGTTGCGATCGCCCCAGCCCCTTGAGGACACGCCCCTCCCCCACTTCCATAGGGCTGGGAAACAGGCATTGCTCTGCTCACACAACATGATCATGACAACACTGCAGCAATGCAGCAATGCAGCAATGCAGCATGCGTTTACTTTCTCTCGGCGGCCGATGACTGTGCAGATACGAAACGGCACGGGCGAGCATCGACTGGGGACTGGGGCAGTGACGGCCGGTCGTGCATCCGCCGTTTACCGTCCGCCCTTTGTGTGTGTTGTTTCTCATCTTCAACGTCTCCCACTGGGTTGCATTCGTTTGAATCCCTCTAGCGTCGCTCCGCCACCCCAGTTGACCCAAGCTCCCCCCTTACGGAGGCGCCACCTAGCCTCCCAGAAGAAGCTCTTCTTTACGACTTCCTGACTAGGAAGGAAGCAAAATCCACACGCCTGGGTCCACGCTGTCGCCATGACATGACCCAGAAACTTCTCCCTCAATCTGCCGGCAGGCAAAACAAAGGCAACCGCAGACCAAGGACAAGTCGTGCATGGCACTAGAGAAGAAAGACCGGGAGACGCAATATATACAACATACAGCCCCATCATGACAAACATTTGTCATTCTGCGTGGTTAACAATAGAAAAGGGACGGCGGGGGCGTGGGTGCAGCAAAAGACGAAATGACGAAACGACGAATAGACACAAGTCTAAAAGTCTAAAATGTGGCGCGCGTCGAGTTGGCTGGCATCCAAAGAGGAAGCAACGTGCGAGACCGTCTGAACGGCGTGTGCGAGGCCTTGCAATCAGGGCTTTTCGGAGTTGTCGGAGTTGTTGTCTTGTTGTGTCACTCCTCGCTGCTGTTTGGATACACGTCATGGCTCCTTTGCGACTGCGCTTTCTGGCGGTGAAGCTAACAGTTTCGTTGCTTCAAGTCGTACTCCGCATTGTGCCAGAGCCTCCCGGCTCGTACTTTTCCCCCCACAGTGGCGCGAGGCTAGGTATGCACGACAGGCGACTCCGGGTCGTAGGGCTAACTCCAAGGCACAAACTGCCAAGGCAACCTCAGAGAAGCGAAAAAGATCCACAGAACAGCCAAGAAAAAAAGACAGTCGAAGACAAGCACACGGCATTGGCACAGACACGACGGGGCATGATCTTTGCCGTCCGCCTATTGTTTCGTTCTTTGTTTGTACATCGTCTGTCGTCCCTCGCTGGTTTTGCATTTACGACGCGTCTGTTGCGGAACGAACAGCCGGCGACGAAAGGGGCGGTTGTGTGGACGAAGAAAATGAGAACATGGACGGCGATACGACCAAAGGAAACGGGCGAAATGCGGACCGGCCGGCTGTCTGTTAGAGCGGTGGGCTGTGTTGGAACTGATGTCAAGTGAAGACGTCAACAAGCTCGGCAAGCTAGACAAAGCTCCCGACGAGCTCGCCAAACGTAGCTGTTGCTGTCACAAGCTCCAGGAGCAGCGTGCAATCTGATACGCCGCCCTACGAGACGCGACAGAAAAAAATGTCTCCGTGGGGCTGAGGCCCCAGTCTCCAGTAAAACTCCTTCGTGCAAGAACACCACAGTGTCTCCAAAGAAATCCCAAAGCTGTCGTCATTGATCGACATCGTCTGGACGTTGGCAAGTAGAGAAACCCACGTTTTAGGATTCAACGGCCTGAAGCCTGAGCACCTTGGTAATAAACGACAGGTCCTCGTCCAACGAATCAGAGCCCACAGTGCCGGCGAGCTGGATGGGCGCTGTTCAGGCTACTGCAGGCCAACTTGGCTGGTGCACCCACTACTCGTACAAAAGTAGAGCCAGCCCACCCGTTCGGACGCGCCGCAAATGGCCGCGCCGTGGCCGTGCAGTGCGATTGGCGGGCTCGGATAATCGCAGGCGTCCTTCACGTCCAATCTCAAAGAGAAAATGGACAAAAAGCATGAAATGCAGAGGGACGAGTCGCACGGGGAGTGCATTCTTCGTCTGGGCCTATTCAATTGCCTGGGTCCCTGGGCGCATGGTATACGAAGGGAACGTTGCGTGATGTGCAATGGCGCTGTGCGCTGCGTCTCAATCTGCAGGTCTGTAGGTCCGCAGCAAAAGGAACGTTCGTTTCCGAAACAAAGGGCATGCCTTGACCGAGTCGCTAAACGTGCATGGCTGGGCTCTGTGGACACCGAGTGGTGGTCCAGGTGCGTCGTAAGATTGTTATTTCCCCATAACGCCATCCCCTCTTTTCCCTTCCCCTCTCCCTTTTCCTCGTCTGACTGCGTTTCTCCTTCTCCTGCTGGCCACCGGCCGTAGGGCTGAAGAAAGCCACACTCCGCTCCGCTGGCGCAGGACGGAGGGGGCGTGGACCTGCATTTTCGTGTGCTGTCCCTATTGTATTTGGCGGTGACAGACAAAACTTGGCCAAAGCGACTTTGGGTGTCCTCATCTCTAGCATAAAGGAGGGCATCTTGGGCCGAAAGAAACACCTGCAAATAAGAGGCCAGGCTTTGGAGACGGTACGTTTGGCAAGTCCTCGTATTGTTTCCTCTTGGGTTTTTTTTTTTTTTAAAAAAAATTGTCTTCTTCTCTCCCCTCTTTCCTCCAGCCGTTCCGTTTTCAATAGCAACCCGCTAAAACACAACTGGCGCCATGCAACGGCCGTGAATCCCAATATGGAATGCCGTAAAAAACAACACTTGGCAGTTGAGGCTGGAGAGGAGCCTTCCCACTGACGTGGAGCAAAAGTCCCGAATCCAAGGGACGAGGACAGGGAGACGGCGGGACGTGAATACGACGTTGGGCGACGGCAATAAATTAGGACACCGGCACATCGCACTTCGGCATGGTACAGACATGATTGCCGTTTTACCTTTTGTTTCTCTTCCTTTTTGCAGCCATCTTGCTCGCGTCAGATACTGCCGAGTAAGAGGACAAAGAGGGCTCCTTTTCTGATGGTGATGTGGAGTACGTCGTCCATCGTATGGCGCCATGGCGCATGTTCATCGTGGGGTAACTCTCTGTTTCTTGAAGCGTTTGTCCGCTTAGCTGACGAAGCTTAAGAGGGCCCAGAGAGCGTAGCGGTGCCCACCGAGAGCCTCACAGCTCAGCATTGACCCCATCAGACGTTGACAACAAAGGGAGCCCCGGAAGGGGTTCCTATTGTGAACGGAGCGCTTTTCCCTATTCACTTGGTAGTTGAGCAGTTTTATTTTTGTTGGGAAGTCATATCTCTTTTGTCTTTCGTCGTCCCGCGCAGGCATACGTCGCAATGCCGGCTTGGTGGTGCTCGTATTGTGGACGGCTAGTGACGTGAAGGGAATGGCTGGCCAGGTTTAACCATGGGCCGTTAAATTGGCGTGTTTGAGCCATCTACCGAGTACACGAGTCGGGTATTTTGGCATGCCGACCAACTCCTGGCCTGGGATGGTGACAGACATCGGCGGTGGAAGAAAGCGGTGCACAGCCGATGCAGGCCAAGACACAAAGGTCTGGCCTTTGGGCTGCCACAGAAGAGGAGAGCAACTCGTAAAACGGACTGTTCTGCCGTTTTTGGGGTGTACCGGCGAGACAATGATGGACGATAAACGCTGGATGGAGCCTGTGCATCCTTCAGGAACAGTCCTGTGCGTGACAGGGGTGGACAGTTTTGTACGTGTGGACGGCGACCAAACAGGGAACACTGAAATTGACTGAAAATTGACAAAAAAGCGGTGCAAAAGTCCAATCGCCGTGCACACCAGCATGACGCGTACGCCCATCAAGCCTCCTTCAGGAACAGCGTTGACGTGGACGTTGTTGGGTCTATCGAACCCTTAGGTTTCGCACAAACGGGACCCAAAGAGGATTGGAATTGCGAAGTCAATGAAGGAGGACCCAGACAAGGCTCCCGTACAAACTTGCCCTCAAGCAGGGAGCCATTTCCATCCGATGTGGCCCCGTCTGTTCCGTCGTGGTTGTCTTTCCATCGCGTGAACGTGAGGGGCGTCCTTTTGCTTCGAGTGCCCACCCGTCGTGCCTGGCCCCTTAGGCTCCGCGGGCAGACTCCGCGGGTTTTCCGGGAAAGGGACTAATCGCCCGTGAGTAGCGGACTTGAAACCAAAGGGAGATAAAGAAGCAAAATAGAGACAAATGTCCGATGCGAAAAGACAAACGTCCGATGCAAAAACAGAAAGTGCACGATGATCAAAATCCATTCCAACCATCCGTCTGCACCGCCGCAAGCCCTTGCTGCAAGCCACCCCGAAAAAAGAAATCGTGACAGGGATGTGTGTTTGTGTGGAGCCGGCCGGTGAATGGCGATGGGGAAATGTCGAATGGTAAACGGTGGTTGCTGCAGAGCAGGGGTTTTCTGGATGGAGTGGGTGGGTGGGTGGTGTGCAGTGTGTGCTGGCTGGTGGTGCTGGCGCTTGAGCGGAACGACGGGACCGCTTCGCCTGGCGGATGGTCGTCGATCCGTGATCAGAGGGAAGAGTTGTTTACGCAAGGGCGCGAGGACGCTCGTGTTCACGGAGGCATCGAGAAACGGTCAAGGCGGACATGCGGATGCTCAAGAAAACAGCCGAGAGCGGTGGGAAAGGGGAGAGACAATACGACGTGCGAAAACGGCAAGTGACAGTTGCTGTTTCTGTAAGATACTATTTGCACAAATGACGCAGGAAGCCAGCGAGACGGAGAGGGCAGGTACGGAGGGCGATCGCCACGACGAAGCAACAAAGATATACTATCACAGTACGTAGGCGTTCCCAGGCCGTCGATAGCTCCGCGAGGAAAGAGCGATGGCGCAGAAAAGCCAAGAGCCAGCGCGGCATCTGAACAAAACGGGTAGCAACTGCCACGGCCAAGACTCTCGAAGAGCAAGAACGACCGGCAATTCGCTCGTTCTGCCACAACGCCCAAGGTCACCTGCAACGAAGAGGGGAGGTGCAGAAGAGCTGCCGTTGGGAACTGCCCACGCCATAGGGCTGTTGGCGTGGCCGTTTCGCGCCCGAGTGAAGCTTCGACTGACCCACAACAACCCACCCATGCAGCCCAAGACACCAAGACGTTTGTTTTTGGCTGCATGGGCCGCTCGTATGATGCTTGCCGTTCCCTGATTTTGCTGTCGCCTGGGGGGGCCCTGCAGGTCTACCGCCAAGCGTCGCACAGCGGACGCGGTCGGCAAAGGTGGCTGGCGATGGCAATTGGGAGGAAAAGAGAGGCGAAAGCAGGCGAGAATGGACGAGCAACGATCGCCGAAAAGGAGAGGAGTCGAAAGGAAGCATCAAGATGTGCATGAATTAGTGGCTCATTGACAGACCCTCACAAGGAACTGCATCACCAGACCAAGACCACGCTGGGCTCGACTGCACCAGACACAGATACGAGGAAAACGAGCGATGCCTCGCCCGGTGGCGGCAGCAAACACGGCGACGCTGCTGTTTTTGCAGGTCCTGGCCTGGCTCGTCGCCTTGGCCGTCGGCAGCGGAGACGCAATCGGGATGGCCGTCGCCGTCGAGGCGTCCAACGACAACGGCGGCAGCAGCAACAGCTGCCCGGCCCACTACTACAGCTGCGCCAGCCAAGGCTCGCAGTTTGACGGCATCTGCTGCCCGTATGACCAGGTCTGCGCGCTGGCCGGAGACAATCGGCCGGCCTGCTGTCCATTGGGGTAGGCCCAAACCCCTTTCCTCCCCCCCTCTGGGCAGATGATACATGTTCTGATACTGCTTCTCGCCCTCGCTTTCCTTTCACAGTGCCGTCTGCACCGGCAACGCACCCTCAACCTACGTCACCACCACGGCCGCGGCTTCGTACGTGCCCAATGGCTTCTACTCGTTTCCGTACCTGCTGCCGGCCGGCATCGCCGCCACGACGGCACTGGCCGACATCAATGCCTGCGCTGCGGTCGTACAACAGTGCAGCCGGACCTTTTCGCAGTGCACATCGGCCCTCGAGAACAGCGGCAGTAGTAGTGGGTCGAACAATGTTGGCCCTGGTGGCGATGGTGATGGCGATGGCGATGGCGATGGCCGTGCCATTACAGTGGTGGTCGCCGGATCGACGACGATTACAAAACGGGGTGTGCTGCCCACCGAGGCTGCCGGTGTGAAACGGGCCGTCATTGGCAACCCGACCGCGACGCTGGCGGCTGCATCGGCGGCCGGCGTCTGCAGCAGTCTGAGCAGCCAGGCGTGCGGTGGCTTGCCATCCGATGCCGCTGCGTGCTCGACTCTCTTCTCCGGTCGCGCAGCACAGACGGGATTCTTGACGGGCAACGTCAGCACACGGCAGAGACGCCTGCCGTCGTTGGGGGCAGTTGTTGCTATTGTGGCTGTAGTAGGCACGGCGATGATGATATTATGAGTGGACGACACGAATAAACGATGCTATGACAGGTTTGATTTGAACGGTGTTGAATAAACTCATGAAGCCAAGATTTCAGTAAAAGTAAATGAAACAAAGGTTAAATTTAAAGAATATAATAATAGGGAAATAAAACTTATTTAATACTGTAAGGCGGATTTTAATTTAGTCTCATTGAAGAATTACGCACATTGTTGTACTTATGTCAAGATTGTATGGTAGTACCTTTAAAGATCTTTGCCATGCCGACGAGAGCATCAACGAACGCATGTAGTCTTAAATGTTTCATTTAATAGTACAGACATAGGAAACTGAGATACCTTGCAGTCGAACCGTATAGAAAACGAAAGTCCAAAATACAAATGCACACCATTCTTTGCCTCCTTAGTGTTTGAGAAAAGAACAAAAGAAATAAAAAAGCATAACAGAAAGATGGTGGAAGATGGACGAAAAACAAGAGGCGGGAAAGGCCAGAAACGTCAAAGCAATAAGACGAAGAAGAAAACAAAAGAAACATCCCTGGAACCAAGAGAAAACATTGGTAAAACAGAAAACAATAAAACACGGCCGTATTTTTATTGCCACACCTCCTTTCCTCCTTTCCTCTGCCAATGGCCACCGCACTCCCTCTCTATCCAAGCACTCTGCGCTCGTCGCTCATCAACCTCCCCTCTTGGCCTTGCCTTTTCCCTACTGGGCTTGGCCACCTGCACCAGCACCGCCGGCGCCGCCAGCACCACCAGCCTGTCCGCCCGCCGGACCGCCGGGTCCACCGCCCCCGCGCATCCGCTTGACGCCACCACCCGCAGCATCGCCGCCGTCGTTGCGCGGCCGCTTGTTGCCCGGGTTGAAGGCATCGGCAGACGGGTTGAGGTTCGCACCACCACCACCACCACCCGTGTTGCCGCCACCCCGGCCCTGATTCTGGCCCATGCCGCCACGGCCGCGGCCGCGTGGTGCCTGATAGACACCGCCACGACCCGCACCGCCGGCACCGCCGCGGTTGCTGTTCTGGTTGTTGCCGTGCGCGCCGCCGCGGCCGCTACCAGGGACGGGGATACCACTCCGCGGGCCGCCTTGCTGTTGGCCAAGGGCGGACTGCGGCCGTTGTGGCTGCTGTTGGGATTGCTGGGGTTGATGTTGGGGTTGATGTTGTTGCTGCTGCTGTGGTTGTTGTTGCTGCTGCTGTTGCTGCTGGGCTGCTTTGGCAAAGGGGTTGTTCGGCTGCGGGATCTCGCTCGGTTTGCTGAGGAACGGGTTGTCGAGCGCCGGCGGACCACCGGCAGGTGCAGGGAGAGAGGAAGGTAGACTGCTGTTCGCCGGTTGAGGCTTCGTCGGTAGCGAGGAGACGCGTTGCTGTTGCTGCGGTTGCTGCTGTGGCTGGGGCCGTAGAGCGCCAGGCGCCGCGGCCGGTGTGGCCGCCTGTACGGCCGCGGGTGTTGCGGGCGGCTGGGCCCGGGCTGGCGGTTGTGCCGCAGCCGGACCGGGCGTTCCTGGTGCCGGTGTCGCTGGGTTGGAGGCCGCAGGCGTCGCCGGTGCCGGCCGGGCATCCTTGGCAATGGCCCAGACCTCGCCCACGGGCCGCTGTGGCGTCTGCTGCGCGGCGGTCGAGACCACATCCAGCTTCGCCGTGGCCGTCTTGAGCTTGTTCTCGGCCATGTTGATGCGGATCGACGACTTCTTCTCTGCCATCATCTGGCCCGACTCGCGCGCCGACGTTATCTTGGCATCGTACTCGGCCTTGACGGCTTGCTCGACCTCGTCGCGCACCTTCTTGGTCTCCGACTCAATCTTCTTCTTGATGTTGGCCGTCACAATGCTGCGGATCGTCGCGTTGTTGGCCAGCAGCTCACGCGTCTCCGTGTCACCCAGCTTCGACAGGTCGAGTGGCGTACCGGCCGTCGTCGGCGTCCCCGGCTCGGCCTTGGCTGGTGTCGAAGGCACCTCGCTTGTCGCCTCGCCCGGTGCTGGCGCTGGTGCTGCTGTACCGGTAGACGACTGCTCGGCCATCCAAATCTTCTTCTCCTGCTCAACGCGCAGGTCCAGCTCCGCCTGCAGCTTCTCGCGAGCCTCGCGGACCTCCTGTTCCGCCTTCTCCTTGGTCTCCTTCAGCTTTTTGTTGAGCGCGTCCTTCATCTTATCAGACCGCTCCTTGAGCGTGCTCTGAATGTTGTCCTCGACCTCCTTGGCCTTTTGCTCAAACGCGGCGGCACGCGCCTCGGCGGCGGCAATGCGCTGTTGCAGCTCCTCTTTCTCGGCGTCGCTGAGAGGAGCAACAGCAGCAGCAGGCGCAGCACTCCCCGCAAAACCGTTGGCCGCTGGGGCTGCAGCGCCGTACTCGCCAGACGGATTCTGTGCAGGCGCCTGGGCTTGGGCCAGAGCAGCCTGGGCCTGTGCGACCGCCTGGTCTCGCTCGGCCACGGCGGTGTCGAGCTGGGTCCGCAGGCTGACGAGCTCCTGCTCAACGGCCGCTTTTTCGGTACGCACGACCTCGAGCTCGCCACGCAGCTGGTGTACCTCGTGCTGGAGAAGCGCCGCATCGTCTGTGCTGAGGGCGTTCGTGTCAGCAGGCGGCTGCTGCTGTTGCCCATTGACGTCCATGGCCGCCGTCGGTGCCGGCGTCGACGGTACGGAGGCCGCATGTGCCTCCTCCTCTTGCTGGGCGTTGTTGGCGCGGCTCTCGACGGCTGCCTTGGCGGCCGCGTTGGCGGCCTCGAGCTCCTGCTCGACGGTGGCCAGGCGGGCTGCCGCGGCCGTGGCCTGCTCCTGCAGCTCTGTCTTCTGGCTCGTGAGCTCGCGAATCTGGGCACCCTGCTGGCGGGCCTTTTCCTTGGCTTGCTCGATGAGTTTCTGGCGCGTCTCGCGCCACTGGCCGCGGTCGGACTCGAGCGACGTCTCAAGCTCGGTGATCTTGGCGCGCAGCTCCGTCTCGGTCGTCTGCAGCGCCGAGCGCTCGGCCTCGAGGGCCGCCATGCTCTCCTTGAGCTGGTCGAGCTCGGTCGGGTCGACGCGGCCGTACTTGGACAGGATGCTCTCCGTGCGCTTCTGCCAGCGCTCGCGGTCTTCGGTGATCTGCTTGACCTCCTCGTCCATAAACAGCTTCTGGTTCTCGAGCTCGGCGACGCGCTGCTCGAGCGGCTGGATCTGCGCATGCAGCATCTCGATCTTGCCGTCCTTGAGCACGAGCTGCGCCTGCGCATGCTGGTTGTCGTTGCGCAGCGTGACGTTGCTCTCGCGGATCAGGTTGAGCTCGTTGAGCTTCTCCATCAG